CGAGATCCGGCCGGCTGGCTGGTCCACCGTTCCCGGGGTGGGGGTGAGGGGCGCCATCACCGCTGTCTGAGGCCCGAGGGCAGATTGGGCCACGCCCCGGCTGCAGAGCTGCTCCCGTTCCGGGTGCTGGCCACCTGGCCCAGGTCCCAGGAAGCCTCGGATTGCCACCTGGCAGCTGGACAGCAGACCATGGGGTGTTTCTCAGCTGGCGCTCCCTGGCGCTGTGTCCTCCCCGCCTTCAGTGCCAGCCTGTCGCCCTCCAGGACCACGCTCCCTGCGTCCCTGTGACACCCCCCTCCTTCCCGCAGGCCCACCGTACTGGGACCCAGGTGGTCAGGAGTGGAGGAGAAGGAGGCTGGGGTGAGCCGCCCAGGAAGGCCTGAAGGCTGAAGGGACCCAGCTAGGCCACTTGTCATTTGTCTCTGATCCAGGCAGGTGCGGCTGGCTCCCTGCCCCGCTCTGCTACCCACCATGGTCCGGGGACTGCCCACTGCCGCCAGCCTGGCACGTTTTTGCCGGAAGCTGAATCGGCTGAAGCCACTGGGGGAGTCCACCATGGACACTTCGCTAAGACGCTGCCTGTCCACACTGGACCTGACGCTGCTGGGTGTGGGCGGCATGGTGGGGTCCGGCCTCTATGTACTCACCGGCACCGTGGCCAAGAAGATGGCCGGCCCCGCCGTCCTGGTGTCCTTTGCCGTGGCCGCTGTGGCCTCTCTGCTAGCGGCCCTGTGCTATGCGGAGTTTGGGGCCCGCGTGCCCCGCACTGGTTCAGCCTACCTGTTCACGTACGTTTCCATGGGTGAGCTGTGGGCCTTCCTTATTGGCTGGAATGTGCTTCTGGAATACCTGATTGGTGGTGCCGCTGTGGCCCGTGCCTGGAGTGGCTACCTGGACGTCATCTTTGATCACCAAATCCGCAATTTCACCGAGGCCCACCTGGGTGTGTGGCAGGTGCCCTTGCTGGCCCGCTACCCGGACTTCCTGGCTGCGGGCATCCTGCTTCTGGCCTCGGCCTTTGTCTCCTGCGGAGCCCGCGTCTCCTCCTGGCTCAACCACACCTTCTCTGCCATCAGTCTGGGGGTGATTGTCTTCATCATCACCTTGGGTTTCGTCCTAGCTCGTCCACACAACTGGAGCGCCGAGGAGGGCGGCTTTGCGCCCTTCGGCTTCTCGGGCATCATGGCCGGCACTGCCACCTGCTTCTACGCCTTTGTGGGCTTCGATGTCATTGCTACCTCCAGCGAGGAGGCCCAGAACCCAAAGCGGGCAGTGCCCATGGCCATCGCCATATCACTTGGACTGGCGGCTGGCGCCTACATCCTGGTCTCCACGGTGCTCACCCTCATGGTACCCTGGTACAGCCTCGACCCCGACTCGGCACTGGCGGATGCCTTCTATCGGCGTGGCTACAGCTGGGCTGGCTTCATTGTGGCAGTTGGCTCCATCTGCGGTGAGGGGTCTAAGCGGGCAGGGTGGGAACAGGCAGGGGGGAGAGCTGGGCCTCACACGAGCTCTGGTGGTGCAGTGGTTAAGGCACTTGGCTGTCAATTACAAGGTTGGTGATTTGAACTCACCAGCCACTCAGTGGGAGAAAGATGAGGCAATTGGCTTCAGTAAAGATCAACAGCCTTGGAAACCCTATGGTGCAGTTCCACTCTGTCCTCTAGGGGTGCTGTGAGTCAAAATCTACTCCAGGCAGTGGGTGTGGTTTGGGCTTTGCAGTGGGTGTGGTTTGGGCTTTGCCTCCATGAAGATTGACAGCTTTGGAAAGCCTCTGGGGCAGTTCCA